ATTGTTTTCTGGTTGGTTAACAACAGGCTAAAATTGATTGCAATCATTTTAAACTTGTCCTCATACTGTGCTCTCAATGAATGATCTATGGTATACAGGAAGCATGCATCAGTCTAGAAGAATAAAATCTCTTTCAGTTAGATGATTTGTTAGTGTAACTTTCACTATTTTTCTGGACAACATGATAAGCACATACTTGAAAAAAAAACGATGAGTTATTAGGATTTATCCACAAATGACTAACAGATTGTTCTGTTTGCCTGGAATTTGGTTGTTTGTTGGCTGTAACCCTGTAGTTGTTGTTCATACATTCATTTTGCTTATTTTCTCTCTTTATCTGTTCTCTGATCTTTTTCTTACTGTTTGATAGGTGTTCTGGTTTTCCATATGCTTATTAATTGATACGTGATTGGAGTTATATGTTTAGCATCTGATCAACAACAAACCAAATTTTAGAACAAGAGAGCAACCCTTAATTTGTTTGTGTAGAAATTCCAAAAACTAATTAGTTTTGAGGTATATCGTGATAATGCTGTCCAATCAGACAATGAAGGCTCTATGATTAAACTATCTAAATCAGAAAACACGATACACCCAAAATCCTCATTCCAAGCTGTAAACAATCTTCACTTTTTCAGGATTAATTATGCTTGGAATTAAGATTGATTTATTTAAGCTATCAGCATGATGTTTTCATTGACAGTAGTAAGCGTGAACAAAATAGTTTTCTAAATCTTTAGTTGATTGGTCATTCAATAGTGATCAGTTCCTTCAGAGGCAGCTATTCTCAGCAATTTATCCTTTAATCTTAATGTCATCATCTAACAAATAGAATATGTCATTTGCAAATTTTTCTGTTGAACATTTTTAAACTGTTTTGCTTAAGCTCAACATTAACATTTCACCGGTTGTCACTTCTCAATGTTTAAATGTAAAACCTAATAAGTTGTAATCGTCACACATTTATCTCAGTTAGAATACCATTGATAAAATAGGTAGTAATGAAGAACTATTTTATCCTAGAGTGAGAATATTTTGCACTGGACACCTAAGACCTCACTAAGATCTCGTTAAGAACGATTGATTGTAAGAAACAATGAGTCGGCATCTAATAGTATAGTTCAAATCTCAACCAATTTGTAATACAATGAGACTGTCACTCATTATCAAAAGTCATTAGTATTTCTTTTCGGACATTTTAAACTTCACTAATCACTTCTTATTAGAATTTCAGAAATATCCTAAAGTCATTATTGGACTGACTATTATAATTTAGTTGATAGTTTTTCAGGACAAATTTAATCTGTAGATTGTATCTGTCACAGATTTATGTTACTTGAAGTGTTTTCGAAAGTCAGGGAGGACCAGATAGTGGTTTTGTTCTAATACAGGACTCTTCAAAAATGTGGACTTGCAACTTCATCAGGGGTCTGTGATGGACCATTGTGTTGAACTATTATGATAAATTCAAGCTGTAAAAAGAGATATATTCGAGGTTTTAGTGAATCAACGATGCAGTTATCAAGTTGTTGAACAGTTGATGATATTGAAGAGAGTCCTTCTTGATCTAGGTTTGATACTAGGCCTCAACAAAGCTTATCCTTAATATTAAAGGAATTGATGCTTTCCGTGCGATTTTGAAGTTACATTACACAGTGTCTGTTGTAATTCGATAAAATAGTGTTATGGATTTTTGTTACAACCTCAAACACAACTGAATGCATGCTATATTGAAACGGAACAAAGACTATTAATAATTGAGACAAGAAGATAAGATTCCAAATGATGAATTCTATTTTGTTATAATGATAAATTTGCGATTGAATAACGTCTATATGAAAAATAATAATGAGTTAAAAATGATTAACTTATCTGGTCAATTATCAAACTTCAATGAATTCAATAGGGCACGACATGACGTCAATGGACTAATATATGTAAATAATTCAAAATAGCAGTCGATTCATTAATTTAACTAACAAATAGAACTGAATTAGTGAGTTATATATTTGCTGCTTCCTAACAGTGCCACAGTCAGGGACATTATTAATGACCTATTCTTGGAATAAATTAACATCCTATTGATCTGCGGATAATTACACTTATCAATCATTTCTCATTTGTCACTATATTGTTTGCCCAATCCCCAGTGGTGATTTGATTCCAATGAGGTCATTAGTATAGATCACTCGATATCGTTTGAAATATATTTCTCTTTTACATACTCAAAGGCAATCCACAAGAATCCCTTGATTTGATTGCATGCAAAATGTCAAGTTATTTAGGGCAGTGGTCATACTGCGATTCGACCAATAGGATTCGATCAGCCCTAACGACTAGAGAAAAGGGAAACTGACTGTTATTTAATTATTAGTTTGTGAGTGAACTTTTCATAACAGCATATATGAGCTTTACAACCAACTTTCTTCAGATACGTTTTTCTAAACAATCGAATTCAGACTGAAATAGCATAAAAAGTCATTCTAAATAAATACGTAAACAGATATTGTTAAATATCTCCGGAGAAATCTAGGTCGACGGAAGTGAAGCATAGATACTTGGGACGTAGATATAGCAAACTGATGTTTATTCATGGTGACTTCAAAATAAGAATGTTTTAAATATCTCAGTCATCATCGACGTCATAAATTTGGAGTTATAAAAAAGTAAACACCGTTTAAACTAAAAATAGTAAACCTTCAATTAAGACGGTTCCCATCAAGTAATTCACCGAACTCAAGTAACCCGTAAAAACCTGGAAGAATCCGGTTGCAGTTTGGTTCTAGCATGAGAGTTCTTAGTAGTACACATTTACAATCCGGCCAATGTGAACCCTGGGTCATCCTCGATCTCATGGTAACGTTTAATATTTAGACCACAAAGTCAGAATCAAATAGTTTATAAGATATAAGTCTCCAAAACGAAAAAACCAGAAATCGAATATGGTTCCAGATTCAGAATCAAAGTTAAATTCATAAATGGAACCTGCTATGCTTTCATACTTGTCTGACTGAGAGGTTGAAGTTAAATGAAATGAGAGCGTCAGCATCAGTACTTCCAAAAGCTTAATTCAATTTGCATCACTCTGCGCTTGTTGACTTTGTAAAATAGTTTTAAGGTCGTTCAAAGGTATATACATTTTCTTTTAGAACAATCAAAATGGAGAAAAATTTCCGCCGCCACTTCTGTTACGTTATTGATCTGTATACTCAATAATATACAGAAGACAAATTGTCTCGATATAGCTTAAGGCCTTGACACGATAGATTAACTAGTTTAACCTTGAGACTAAAAATGCGTTAGTCCGAATTGAGACTAATGGCCTTGAATAGAAAGGCAAATGAATGTAATGTATGTGGTGAAAGGTAAATATCAAAAGTGGATACGTCATGCTAACCGCACACTGGAAATCGCTGGCACTTCACAGAAAACCGATGAACTGAGCTCAGTGTGTAGTTATATATATTATTTCTCATGTAAACTTATCAGTTAATTGTTAATACAATTGCGATTTACTGTTATCAGAACATATTCAATAAAAAAAACGCATGATATTTTCACCAAATGTTTCTGAATTACCTCATTAGATAATGAAAGTTAAGGGCACCGATTACTCCAACGACTGGTGACGAGTGCACCTGTTATGTGCTTACATAAAGTCAAATACGACATAGTTCCTAACTCCAGAAATCAGTAAACGATGGATTTGGTTTGATATTGTTTTAGGCGACAGAACCATGATCAGCTCCAATAAAAAACATCCAGTAACTCTTAGATGTGATCCACAAACCGTTTTTATTACGTCGTATAATTGCTCCACGACCCAACACATGGACAAAAAACTCACATTCACAGCAAATATCTCACCCAAACTATTTGATAACGAGTATTTTAAAAGGTTTATTCACATGATGATAGTGTTGTTGGTCATTGTAGATACCTTTTCATTTCGCTTGAAGACTACTCATTTTATGATAATTATCATGAATAATCAAATTGTATCTTAGTAAATATACTTTCAGCCTTAATCTTGAATTAAGTTAAAAATTAGGTACGTTTCAAAAGTAATCGTGAATGAACTGTTACACTTCAGCTCTTAAATAATTACACAATATAAGTGGTTTATCGATGAAAACAAACGGATTTTCTTGTTTCGGTATTTGGAGCCCGTAAGATCGTACCATAGGAAAGCAGAGCAGTTGTATTGACCTATTCCAAGTATTGATCAGCTCGCAGAGACTGTCTATCTAATGCCAACGACAAGAAAAAAATGTGAGATAACTTCCAAGAGTAATACTAAATGATTATGGATACAGGATACAGTTTCCCACGCTTGTCCACCCAATAGCCAGAAAACAGAACAACTTAGGAAATAGAAAACTTCTAATGATACATTCCTATTGATGTTTAAGACTACAATTGATCAATCTCTTAGTAACATATGTGCATCCTATGCGTATTGCTTCCATATTACCTTAATTCACAAGTATTCTAAACAAAGATAGATAGTGGTAAGCAGTGGAATCTAGGATGGACATTTTGTCCTATTTATACTATTTGCAAATAAATGGAAGAAATCAAGAAAAACTGGGCATAAATTTAACTCATGAATATGAGAATAATCATGGGTAAAAATATTTTTAAAAAAAAAACAGAATTGAAAACAATACGAATATAAAATTTATTATTATTTATTGTTGTCATAGAGACTTTCTGCTGTCAATGAAACAGTTTTTTTTCATGTGATTCCAATAAATCTGTTCATCTGACTAAAAAACTCTTCATGCATATTTTAAGGAAATATCAAATTGAATACCTGCAGGAAAAAGGAAGCTTTTTCCTATGTTTTTACTACTTATTATCCGAATAAGGGTTTGAAAGATGTATTTGGACAGCATCATTAATGAACACGGTGGATCTGATGCAGATGTGAAGGCGCAGATCGGCAAAGAAAGAACAGCAGATCTACAGCTGAAGAACAACTGGAACTCAAAACAAATGTCAACCAACACCAAGGTCAGGATTGTCGATGTAAATGTCAAGACAGTTCTATCGTATGGAGCGTAAACTTGGAGAACTGCGAAAGCCGTCATCCAGAAGATACAAGTGTTTATTAACAGTTGTCTACGCAAAATAATTCGGATCCGTTTGCCAGACACTATCACCAAACAACCAACTATGGGGGAGAACAAATCAGATCCCAATGGAGGAAGAAATCAGGAAGAGTGGCTGGAAGTAGGTAGGTCACACACTGACGAAAGCACCCGACTGCGTCACAAGGTAATCCCTCACATGGAATCCTGAAGGCGAAAGGAGAAGAGGAAGATCAAAGAACACATTAAAATGAGAAATGGAGACAGACATGAGAAGAATGAACAAACAATGGACAGAAGTGGGAAGGAAAGTCCATGACAGATTGGGTTGGAGAATGCTGGTCGGCAGCTTATTCTCCATTGGGAGTAACAGGCGTAAGTAATTAAGTAAGTGTGTAAACCCCTAACTTTCTTCCGACGACCCCCAACACCAGTTGGCATTACGCGTCAGGGTAATCGATGTTCAGGCATACGTAACACGTGGATCAACCATCTCAGCGGATGAATATTTACAACCTCATCAACTGATTTACCATCATTATGTTAATAATACTCTGAACCAGGTATGGCCAACTAAAGGTAATAAATATTCTTGTATTGAAGTCAATTTGTAGATATTCTAATAACATATATGTAATTTCCATGGCTTCCATTAAATTCTTTTATAATGATCATAAAATATCAATAAGCATTTTAAAAGTACTAATAAAATGTAAATAAGTAAAATCATCACAAAATATTAGACATTCATTTCTGTTATGTATTGGATTATGATATATAGCTATGCACTTCTATTATTCATTGTTAAAACATTGACCGATTCATAGGTAACTTTGTATTGTGTGCTTAACATTTAGATATCTAATTTCCACGTGGTAGCTTTACTATTTTCTATCATTAAAATTTTATATCAGTCATCTATCTATAAGGTATATTAATGAAATGACTTTGAAAAGATTTAGATGAATCAATTTAATAAGAAATAATGAATTATTTTACAAGAATCGATATTCTATTATGAAATTATATTTGATGATAGTTGATTAACTTTAAGTCCAGTACGAAATTGAACGTAGCATCATCATCATCATCATCATCATCATCATCATCATCATCATCATGATTTTTCCTGACATTTCAATCATCGGGTTGATGCTCATAGGTCTTGAAATTTAAAGAATGTATTGATTATTATAACAAGATCATCGTTCACCATTAATTAGAGCTGATTAGTGAATAGTAATGAAAGTTAAGTTTCATGTTTCATTGACTATCGAATTCTACTTAAAGATGATTCTGACTTATAGCAACATTAACTCAATTCTCTAGAGATATACACAATATCTGAAAACAGACTTATCAATTCTGTGACTTAACACCAACAACTTGTAAGGGAGTTGGAAGATTTAACCACTTACAACTAAATCGTTATTCATTATCTCAACTGATTTGTTGATTTTTCAAGTCATAACTTAACGTTTAAGTAATCTGTCTTGAAACAACTCATCAGTAACAGATATCTCATTAAATTACAATTTAAGATTTATAAAGGTTCATATTACTTCAACATAACTTACCTAAATGATTGACGTTTATTGAGTTTAAAACTTGTGCTATATTGTTTCTATAGTACTCTTAGATCTTCATTATTTATTCAATACCTGATAAGGTGTTTATTCTCAATTTGGGCTAAATTTTACATATACTAAGATCGTGTTGTGTTTGAATGAACTAATGATACCTTTGTACTTGTTGAATGCTTAATTTCGAATTCTAACTACAATACATTCGTTTGTGGTTATCTACTACTTCTTGATCCGATTACGTTATTTCTGGGATTCCTAGTTCATACTGTAATTCAAATACTTAGAAACATTACAGATCCGTAAACTAGTTATATTAATAAAGTGTGTAAAATGCACGTTTTCACTGATTTCTCCTGAAAATGTTTAGTCAAATGAAATGTCTTGATAACTGATCAATAATGAACATGATCTACTCATTTGTACATATTATTATCATTAAGCCTATTAACTGTTTATATTATCATTTCTTTCATTGTACGTGAATTTACTATGTTCAGTTATTTTTATGAACCACTGAATATTATTTAGGTATTTTTGTTAGGAAAGATTATCATATCTCGGAAATGATTTCTGTTTCTTTTCACAATCATTCGATTCTGATAGGGATTTACACGGTTCCTATAAGCTTACCTTATCTGAAATACTAATAAGTAAACTGAGAAATGACTAGGAAACCTCAATAGGAAAATTATATAAATTGTACACAAACAATATAAGTATATACATGTTGTAGATTACCAACGTAGATGATCTATGTTGAATGATTGGGGGCTTACTCGACTTAGACGGTAATGGTGTGACCAATAGCTAACATGGAAATCACATCTCGCAGTCAGCACCTAGCGTGGATTACCCCTTCATGATATCAAAATACTATTGATGCTTTGAAGACCGTATAACACAAAGGACGTTATTACGGAATGAGTGCAGAGATAGTGAGACCACAACCGTATTGGCTAGTCCATAGCTTACGATTAACTGATGAGTGTTGATTGTCTTTGACTTTGACGGGAATTGATGATCTGTTCGATTTTCAATGACCCAATTGCCGTATGATTTGTCTAGGACTCAGTAACGTTTCACTAGACCTACAATATCTTCTTCTAAAATCGGACAAAGATATACCAGCTGAAACACTGATGAAGTACATAAACAATTTCTCCATAAATATATTTTGTTTGTAATCCCTTATCTATCCTTTTGACCTTGAGATAGTATATAGATACAGAGATATGTTATATCTAATCATGTTCAATTTACTAATTTGTGTATATATTCACATACAGACAAAAAATTGAAGTGAGAACATACATGAACATCGACTTCAAAGGTGACAGCCACATATATCTTAAAGAGGAGAATTTCTGATTCCTTAAAAAGAACATTCTTCGCAGCAACTTTGCGAATATTATTCTCCAGCCGATCAATGTTCACCAATAATCAGAAAGATAAATTATCGCATCTGATTAACTCAATGTGCAGTATGTAGGTTGTTCGATGCGTACTTCATCCAAAAGAATTCAAGAACATTATCCGGCGTGGCTAAAAAGAGGAGGCAACGGCTCAATAAGAAGTTCTATAATCGAACACCTTGTGAACATAGGTCATTCAATCAAGACAGACTCTGCGTTCAAAGTCATCTACAAGGTAAGTAGAAGTCTTCCTAAGACAATTAGACTGAGTCTTCTCTGCATTGCCGAAGCAATAGCCATACATCTGGAAAAACCAGAATTATGTGTGCAAAAGATTCTGTTACAACCTCTTCTTTTACCATGGTCTTAATGTATTAAAATTTTCCTCTCTCTTTCATACTCTTGTTCCTTTAGAGCCATCTGCTTCACATTCCATCTTCCCTTTAAATCCTCTACTCCCAACTGTTTTATTTCTGTTTCTACGATCATCCTGATTTTGAGATGGTGAAGATTTGTAGCTCAGGTGGATGATTTTGGTGGAGTTTTGTTCTCTGAGCTGGATGGTTTGGTCGTGGAGCTTTCATCGTTCTTCTGAACGACATCATCAGCACAAACTTCAGACAGAAGTGAAGTGCTCGAATTTCTCCACATGTGTTTCGCAGCTTGTTCTGTGCACCTCGATGTTGATTGGTTCTTATCGACCTTAAATTTGTCATTGTTTACTTCTTTGTTTTGGTCGTGTCTCCCATTGGTTTGATTTTTGTCCCTATATTTGTGCATGATTTTCCTGATTGGTTGATAAATTGGATTGATTTCAATGTTTGTTGATTGCTGATTAACCTGAGTGCCAGGCTTCTAAAAATTCTCTGGTGTTTTTGGAGTTTCCTCTGTCTAAGATTTCTACATTTTTCCAATCGAATGAGTGTCCGTAGTTGTCCACGTGTATTGATATAAGTGAAGAGATATCATGACGTTTGCCTGCTAATTGATGTTCATTTAGGCGTAGGTGAAGGGAGCGTCCGCTTTGTCCGATGTAGTGTTTTTTGCAGTTGGCACAAATCCCGTCAAAAAATTAGACAAATAAAGCGGCGAGACTATAATTTGTGGACGAATCAATCAGGTGTAAGATAATAGATCTCGGATTTCAACGCGAAAACCTTTCATCCGTTTGTCTAAATAAATTTCTGGCATTATAGCTGATGTCAGTTTGTGATGAAAACCCCATATATAGTTCCTAACTAAGGCGAATTATGACAATTATCGCGAATGGGATAAAAGCACCAGTAACACTGGCTGCAGCCAGGTACTACAATATATACGGATGTTTGGAGAGCGTACAGACTCCTACATAGGCTTGTTTATGTGCATCGTGTCGTTATCCACAAGTGGCATTTTGTGTACTCAACAACTGGAGTGCACATAAACAATATTGAAGCAATGCGGTCGAAACTGAAAGAGTTTTTGAGACTTTATCATGGCTCCAGAGGCCGACTGTTCTTTAGCCGTATGGATGATTTCCTCTACTGCATACATTACGATTTTAAAACCTGTGAACCTCTTTCTAGCCTTGACAAGTTTTTGAACCCCGTATTAGAAGTGTATCCACTTTATTTCCTCGGTTTTGTATAACATATTTTTACTCTATACTGGCTGTTTGTTGATTGGCTAATCTTTCTCAAAGTTACTCAAGATTCGTTCAAAGGTTGTCCATAACTTAGAGTCTCACCATTTCTCAACCCAAAATTAAATCATGTCGAGAAAGAATGAACTTTAATATAAGAAAAATAAAACTTTTCAAAAATAACTGAATTCTAGATCATATTTGGTCAATAATGAAAATTACAAAAATGCTTAGTCAAAAAAGGGGTATAACAATGATCTCTTTTCATAAGACATTGAAAAACTGAATAATAAATAATTGATTTAAGTGTAAAATAAAAATATTAAACTCTCTCTTCTTAAACGCATCAAAGTGATATTACAATGAGAAGACGAAGATTATCAGAACTATGTGATATATTAGCGCAATACATTTCGAACAATCTGGTCACACATATACTTGTTAAGAGCATTTATATATAAAAATAAAAGGTCAACTAGACAGGAAACGGGGTAAGAGCAGATAAGGATAATGATAAGAGTAATTTTGATAATAATGTGAACACAATTTGAAACCTAATCACTCTGGATAATAAGTCAATATTACCAG